AGTGTTGTGGGGCCGCACATTTGCCTCTGACATTCTAGAGAGTGCTGGGATGAGAAAATTAGTGGATATTTGTGATTCTCAACAGTGGACCAATTTGTTTACAAGTGAGGCTCATATAGTGTATGAGGACGAGGTGCGGAGTTTCTACACCAGCCTCTTCACAGTAGATGGTGATCAAATCTGTGTGTTGATAAATGGGGTGGACATAGTGATGGACTCTGCGTTATTGGGGTCAATTCTGGGTGTTCCTACCAAAGGAGTGTCATCTGTTTAGGTTGCCTGCACACCAAACTTCAGAAATGCCATTGTCAAGGACAAGGCAGTACAACACGGGGAACAGGTGCATAAGAAGTCACTCCTTCCAGTTTATCAACTGCCCTTTGAGATGGTTAATAAAGTATTGCTTCCCCACGCTGAAAGAAGATTTGTTGCATCCAAAGCTGACCTATTCCTTATAGAAACCTTGGATAATTCTCCTCCATCAATTTGCCTGCCATAATGATTGAGCATATGCAGAAGGTAGAGAACCTTAAAGATGGGAATCCTGGACTACCTTATGGGTTCCTTCTCACAGGGGTCTTTGAGTTTTTCAAAGTACCTCTGGGACAGAGCAAAGTAGGCACCAAAAAGCAATCATTTTCAAAAACTACTCTGGAGGAGTGTGAGTGTATTGACAAAGCGGAGGAGTTGGAAGCACTTCCACAATCTCTCAACTGATAAATGCTCAGAATAGTGCCACAAAGTAGATCCGGAAGTTGAAGGCTAGGAACGCGATTCTTGAGAGTCAGTTGCAAGAGGTACCTGGTTCTAGTGGTTCTCACAGCGCAGAGGTTGCACGCCTAACAAAGGAGAATGCTAAACTAAGGAAACAGGTGGAGGACCTGAAAGAAAGATTGCTCAATGAGCAAATGTCCGCGAATGCTCGCATGGATCTTGTCCTCCAACCTCTTGCTTCCTCTTCCAAGCCCCCTTCCTCTAGTGTCCCTTAAAGAATGTCCCCTAGTGTTCAGTTTCTAGTGTCTATCTTCTTAAGTTGTTTTTGGTGATGTTTTGTTATTTCTAGTAATTGTATTTTGTTTGTTCTAGATTGTGGATGAAAACAATGATTCTGCTCCCGCTTGTAAAAGTCCAATTCTGGTTAATGAAAGTGATTTCCTTTTTGCTATCTATGTTGCTGCTCTTTTATTTCTGTCTTCTATCATGTTTTGAGCACATAAGTGGCATGAGTGAGCTATGCTAGACTTCTTTATGCTGCTAACCTGTTCTGTGCTTTTCATGATGCCAAAAGGGGGAAGATTTTAATTAATTAAATAATAAGGCATATGAGAGCATGAATGAATGAATGAGAGTGCATATGAGAGCATGAATGAATAATTATCTGAAAACAAAATACATATTCAGGGGAAACTCATTCAGGGGGAACTCACAAAAGTTCAGGTACTGACTAAGGGGGAATGCAGAGTTTCAGGGGAAACTTAAGGTCCTTCTGGTTCACAATCTGGTCCTTTGTGGCTCTTTCTAGGATTTTCAATTATAAGTTTGTCATCATAAAAAATGGGAAAATTGATAGGTTACAAGTACTTTGGTTATAAGTACTTTACTTTATGCTTTGATGATCTTACAAACTTACTATCTAGAACCAGATAAGGACCCTATTACATATTTACAAGACCTCAAGATCACAAGGTTCCAGGTTGGGACTCAGCGTGGAAATATGATTCAACTCCTCAGAGTGGAAGGAACGGATGAGGGACCAGGTCCCTATCAGTTCCCGAAGAGACTATACGAAGTCAACTTTCGAGCTGGAAAGTTGCTGCCTGCACACGCTACAGTGTAGGAACAGTGTTGCAGTCAACTTTTCAGGGAAGACTTTTTACCTACCTTGCTTGCATCACTGTAAGTGATGTCACACATGTATATATAATTCAAGGGAGGTAAAAACAACATCACTTGGACACTTAGAGATTTCACTCAAGCTCACTCACGTGACCATTCAACTAGCAAGTTTCAAGTGCCTCAAGAACAAAGAACAAAGCAACTACGGACCAGTTCCCACATCGAGTTATTGTGTGTCCTTAGTTGAGTTGTAACTTTGTAATAGTTCTTCAAATTGTAATTCCTATCTAGCTTATTTAGAAGCATTTTATAGGAACATCTTTGTAAACCTTAAACTTGCGTGTTTAAGTCTTGGCTAGAGTTAGTCAAGTTTCAAAGTCTTTGTAATAGAGTTATTGCAAAGTGGCTTGTAATAAGTGTGTTACAAGTTAGTAAGGGATTAAGAGTTTAATTCCTAGGTTGCATAGGTTGTAATCTGAAAGTTGCTCAATAGTGAAGTTGAAATCCTACAAGGGTATGTCGTGGTTTTTAATCCCGTTGAGCTGGGAATTTTCCACGTAAAATTCCTCCTGTCATTTAATTTCTGCTCTGTGTGTGTATTATCGAATATGATAGAGAACCTGGTTCTCTATAGAAGTTGGTGGACCCATATATTCTATCACATTGGAACCGAGAACAAAGTTTTGAAAGGAAGATATCAGTTGGAAAAGATAATATTCAATGAGCAGCCATCAATAGGTTCTATTTACATTAAATAAGAGCTTGATTTGTGGATCTTCTCTCCCTGAATAGAGCTATAATAGGAGAATTTGTATTCACTATTAGACCCAAAACATTATGTACGCAAAAGAAAAATTTTGTTCTTATTCTATCAATCTACTATGTTTCTTTTGTTCTTGATATTGTTCTTATCATTGCTTCCGGAGAAGCTAAATCTATGGCCATGCTTGTATTTTATTCAAGTTTGTTTAATCAATTCATTTTTGTTCTTAATTATTTTATATTATTGAATCAAAATAATTCATGTACCTATAATCTATGTTATAAATTCATCTGTACCGTTTTACCGATAAACAGTTTGGCGCCCACCGTGGAGCATAGATAACTGTGTAATTACTTTGATCTATTTATCTGTTACTAACGCAGTTTTGATACTTTTCTTTAATAAAAAAAATCAGATATGGTAGCTAACGATGTGAACAATTCTTACAATGTTGGAACAAACAATGAGCGTGAGGATGTGTTCCAACGTGATGATTCAACTAGTGAAACTCGCAACGAAGGAGATGAAAGAAATCTTCGTCATGTGAGAAGTCCAACTCCTGATGAAACAGTCAAAATTTTGAGGGAGCAACAAAGGGAAACTATGAAACATCTCTCAAGACAAGATCGGATAATGACAGAGTTGAAGCGGACACTTTCGGTTGCTTCCAATAATTCCAACGGGGGAATTCGAGTTAACAATGCAAATAACCGGTAATATCGCTTCAAGGGAGGAGTTCAGTTTAATGAAAATGAGGCAGATGGTGCAGGTACCGGATCCGGGAATGACAACAATGCTAATGATCCTTTCGGAATTGAGCTCATGAGATTCATGAGGAAAATGAATGAACGGATGGACCAAAATGCTAAGGCATTTCATGCTCGGATGGATCAGATCCTGGTAGCATCACTACTGTTAAAGGGGCCGAATTCAAAGAACTATACACAGTTGCCATTCAAACCAAGTGCGGCCCCGAAATTAATTCCGAAAAGATTTAAGATGCATGACCTCCCGAAGTATGATGGGACTTCGGATCCACAAGAGCATATCACAACTTACATTACAGCTGTAAAAGTAAATATCTTGGCCCCGCACGAGATAGAATCTGTCCAATTGAAAAAATTTGGCGAAACCCTAACGAAGGGTGCTTTAACTTGGTATTCTCTTTTACTGAGCATTCGATTGACTCTTTTAAAATGCTTGTAGATTCATTCATTAAAGCTCACACTGGGGCAAGAAAGTCCAAGCTAGAAATGCGGGCATATTTAGAATCGCTCAAGGAGAGTCAGAACTATGGCAAGAGTTTGTGATCCGGCTTCAGAATGAGAGGATGCTATTGCTGGCAGTACTGGACGAGTGTGCAGCTGAAGCGTTCACCAAAGGTCTCAATCCATTAAGATTCGATGCCTCCAGGAAATTGAAGGAAAGCCTATTAAAATTTCAGGCAACTACATGGGCAGATGGCCATAATTATTATGAATCAAAAATTAGAATAGAAGCTCTTCGGTGTCTTTGAAAGGACGTAATCGTGATCGGAATCGGGAGAAGTTCAAAATTGATTTCGATGCAGATCGGAGGTCTTCCGGGAGTCGCTTTCACCCTTACGCAAGGGTTGATAGGCGTGAAAATAAAGGATTTCAGTCATCAGACATGTTTGCTTCCGATAGAAGTTCGGATCGTGGTCGGAGTAGCAAAGCTTTACAGGAGAAGGAACCATTAGGGTCCAGAGATTCAGCATACCCCCGGTGATCCGACTACAACTTTAATATCAGCTTAGTATAATTGGCGTCGGCTGTGAGAACTATTATGGAGTCTAGATTCCCGAAACCAATTCGATTAGATCCTAGTAACTTTGATGTTATTACTTAACCAGTATAACATTGTTCTGAATTGAATGGTACTTTAGAGGTTGTTTGGTACACAAACTAAATTATCCGGGATATAATCCCTAGACTAATTTATCCCACATAAGAGGTGGGATATAATAATATCAAGTTTGTGGAATAAAGTAGGATAAGATAGAATAAAGTATGATACTAAATTTATACTATGTTGGGAATAAATTTATACCATCAACCAAACATGATATAAATTTAGTACCATACTTTATCCCATATCACCATATCCCGCATGCCAAACGACCTCTTCTTAGTTTACCGTTTGGCTCTCAGTGACTATCTTCTTACTTTTGATAATAATATATAGCTTTCTATGATTGTCAAATAGTTTTGCGACATATTTAATTTTTTTAAATTTTATGTCAATTTCTTTTAATAAATAAAAGACGTGATAATAGGTTTACGTTTTTGCAGAATTATTTTATTTTATTTAAATTGTAAAGAATTATGTTCAACAATTTCATGGAAATATATAAGTTAAACCCCCAAATCCGTATAATTTACCAAAGACAAACCGAGAAAGAAAAATCAGAAATTACACAAAACCTCCCTGCGCTTGAAGTGTTGTTCAAGAAAAACCAATAACAAAGTCTGCTCCTTTTTTCACTCCACAGGTTCTCAGAGCAAAAACCTTCCCGCAACATAGTTCGTTTCCTCGTTCTCTTCAGTCCCAGAATGTCGGTAAGTATTTCTTCTTCTTCCTATCTGTAGAGAGTATGCCCAAATGTTTGTAACCCTAGCTTGTCTCATCACTCTCCTAACTGAAAACCCAGTTTTTTCCCCAGAAATTTTAGATAGTAGAGATTCGTTTTTTTTTTTTTTTAAAGAAAACTGAAATGGGCTTGATTAGAATGGAATAGATATAGAGGATTTATATAGCCGAACCAAATAGTTTGAGATTGAGATATAGTTGATTGATTGATTTTGATAGAGAGAAAAAAAAAACTTAAATGTTTATTATCTAAGTTGGTTTCATGGACCTAGATTTAATGCAGAAATTTTAGATAGTATGGATTTAAAAACAAGAAACTGAAATGGGTTTGATTAGAATGGAATAGATATAGGGATGTATATAGTTTACCTCAAATAGTTTTGGGATCGAGATTTAGCTGATCGATTGATATTGATAGAGAAAAAGAAAGAAGAAACCGAAATGGGTTTGATTTGAACGGAAGAGATATAGAGGATTTATATACCTCAAATGCTTTGGGATCGAGATGTAGTTGATTGATTGATTTTGGCTGGCGTACAAAAAAAAAAAAAAAGAAACTGAAATATGTATTATCACTGGACCTATCTTCAGGGGCGGATGTAGAGTAGCGGTGACGCGAACCACAAAATTGATGTGTAAAAATTGTCTAAAATTACAACAAATGGTAGGTTTGAACCCATAAGTTTAAAAATACGATAGGTTCAACGCTAAGAATAAAAATACGATAGGTTCAATGCTAAGAACCTTAAAGGTTGAATTCATAGAGTTTAAATCCTGGATCCACCTCTACCTATCTTTTATAGATGAATTTCAGATAGTAGAATGGGCACTGAGGATTCAGATATGCAATCCCAATTAGTTTGGAATCAAGGGTAGTCCATTGATTTTGATATAGATAAAAATAACTGAAAAGTATGTACTACTGAGTTTTGTTTTGTGAAGTGGGTTACTAATATTATGTGTTTAGTTATGGTGGTGTGTATAAACAAATTGAGCATAATTGATTGATTGGTACAACACTTAACTATGTGTTATCAAGGTTGTTTTTTTGGACCTAGCTTTTGTGCACAAATTTAGATACAGTAGATAAGAAAACACTGAAATGGGCTCAAATATAGCGTAATGGTACAAAGGATTCATTTTGCTACACCCAACTATTTTGGGATTAAGGCATAGGATTTTGTGATCTAGCCGTAAAATTGGTTTTGATAGAGATAAAGAAACTGAAATATGTATTATCAAAGCTGGTTTTGCATAGTGGGTTATTGATTATGTGTTTGGTTATGGTGTTGTCTATATATGTACAGATCTTTGAGTATAATGGAAGTGCCCTAGTGGCAATGGTGGGGAAGAACTGCTTTGCAATTGCGAGTGACCGGAGACTTGGTGTGCAGCTGCAGACAATCGCCACTGATTTTCAAAGAATATTCAGAATCCATGATAAGGTTTTCATTGGCCTTTCCGGGCTGGGTACCGATGTCCAAACACTGTAATTCCAATCCCTTTTCTTTTATGTTCTTCTTCTGTTGCTATTTGCATGTGTCGGTCTTGGTATATATGCTTGAGTGCTAATTGGATTGGATTTTTTACAGAATTAAATCAATCCAATGACACATATCCTTGTTTTTCAGGAGAAGAGATAAACTTACCATATTATCATTTTCTCATGATCCACCATGCATATTGTGGGAGATTAAGAAGACTTTTCTGTATATTGATAACCAAAATATAAATACGTTAAAGAAGAGAACATAAAACTTTGCCTTCTCAAATCCTATACGCGGAATGAACGAACTCATTCAATATACAAAAGATATATGATGCAGAAGTCCATATGCAGTTGAACTTGTACTCTAATGTTGTAAAAGTTATGCTTTGAGCCTAGAGAAGGATGTAAAATACTAAAGAGAATTACGGTGGGGTTTATACTTGTTTGATTTGCTTGAATGGATTAAGGGATCAATTTATAATATTGGTATTATTGTTTGGGTGAATATTAAAACGTGAATTGTTATACTGTTAACAATAATATATGGTTTATTATGCAGAGATTACAGTTTCAAAGCCATGAATTAGCTTTATCTTGATATTGCTAAGACACGGATTTGTATTCCAGCTTATGTCTCCTATAAAATAATACATTAATTCATGTATAAGTTATGCAAGTATTATATAGATGGACTTTTACTGGAAACTGAACACAGCTTTAGTTATGCAAAGTTGTATTAGTACTACAAGTTTAATACGAGAAACTAAACTTTGTATTACAACGCCAACTAAACTTTGTATTACAACAGCAACTATGCCTCAATCCCAAGCAAGTTGGGTTGGCTATTGAATCCTTACTGACCATGTCGCTCCGATTAAGTTCATCTTAGACCCATATTATACAAAACCTTTGTATTAATAATGTAAAATCTTGTAACGGGGTTATTTTCTCTTAAACAGCAAACCGAATGAGCATTAAGTGAATGAAATCAAGATATTGAGTCATCTTTGTGGCATTGTGAAATATAAGGTGCTATAGGACTTCATCAACGAATTTGAGTTTGAACGACTTATTTAAGTGCTTGTTCACTTATAGGAGGGATGCGTTAATTTGAAAAGAAGAGTGAGACAAATCTTATGTCTAGCTTAACTCTTTCCAGTTTTGTGTTGCTTTCTTTGGGATGTGGGATGGGGAGGGACTGGAGTGTAATCTCTTTATTGATTTGATTCATTTGATTACATCACTGATATGTACCTTTGATCGGTTTCTGAAGGTATCAACGGCTAGTGTTCCGTCACAAGTTATATCAGCTTAGAGAAGAGAGGGACATGAAACCTGAGACTTTTGCCAGCCTTGTATCTGCTCTTCTTTATGAGAAAAGGTTATTACTATTTACATGTCTTGTACTGGGTTTGTTGTTGTTGTTGTTGTTGGCTAGTTATTTCCAAAGAGACTTCGTGCACCGTTCATGTATGAATAAATTTTGTTGAGAGTTGGCATAAACTTGAAAGTTGACTGCCTCCAAGACTGGAAAGCAATTTAATCACTTTGGTGGGTGAAGGTTTACTAAATACTTCTAAATGTGTATAAACATCGAGATAGTGCATTTTTGTCTTTCATCCTCTACGTCTGGGCCTTCAAGGCTATACTATTTCTTTACTACCATTCCGTCCATACTAAAACATATCTGCAGCAGATATTACGATTGTGTCAATGTTTTCCAATGACTTGGTGGGGATAATACTTGCTGAAATAAGTTGCAAGTCATTGGAAACACTGTACTTTCTCCTCTATAAATTAAAAATCTTTTGGTTGATGTAAACTGATATTTATCTTCTGGCACTTCCGACCTGCTTTGGCCCCATTCCCTCACCTAAAGTATCTGATCAAGCTGAGCAATAGGGCACGTAGTGGGCGAATTGTAGTTTGATATAGACATGAAACCCAGTTTTCTGCAAGTTTTGAAAACTTTTGAGGTTGCAAACTCGAGCCACCATTTTGAGCTTGAATCAGTAGACAATTCATTGGATCTTGACTTTATTTTTCCTGTCAATGATGAGTGTGGGATGTTTGCCTTTAATAACTCAACTCAATGGCAGCCTTACCTTTGTCTCTTCTGTCTCTTTATTGGAAAAAGACCTATTAAAATAGCTATGTTTGACTCTGTGTGTATGTGTGGCACTATGTGGTCTACTAATAATTGCGCTATGAATTTGGTTTCCATCTAGGTTTGGTCCATACTTTTGCCAACCTGTAATTGCTGGATTAGGAGATGATGACAAGCCGTTTATTTGTACAATGGACTCTATTGGAGCAAAGTATGTTGATTTTTCTACTTCTTCAAGTTAAATTTTGTTCTGCACTTCGAGAGGCTTTCCCTACAATGTTTTGCTTATGATATGGCTAATACACATTATGCGCAGGGAGCTTGCCAAAGATTTTGTCGTTGCTGGTACTGCCTCAGAATCTCTGTATGGTGCATGCGAGGCCATGTTCAAGCCTGACATGGTTTGTTACTCATCTCAACAAAATATTCCGTAATCTAGCTCAAATGACACGTCACAAGTCAATATTTTCCAATGGGGATAATGTGCCAAAGTTGAAATTCTTCTTTTACATGATGCTTATTTCAGCTGAAACGTATTTGCTTAGGGAAAATAATTTTGCTCCCCTTAGTTTATGTTCTATGTGATGCTGATTTAAGAAAAGTGTAGGCAGTGTTTGATATGATGGGTGGTGAAGTAATGCACTATCTCTTTGTTGCTTTGCTGTAGTTAGGCGTCCTGTCTTATCCACAAAACTTTTTGCTCATTGGTAAGCTGAAATAAATTTGGCCAGTCAATAGTGGAGATGTCAGTATTCTGAATGTTTATTCCAAGATCAGACTACACAGAACCACTCCCTAGATCATACACTATCCATTGACTCACTTCCGTCAATTATTATCACTATTATAATTCATTCTGATAAGTGCACTTTCATCAATTATTTATTAGTAGAATGCTTTCGCCAATGCAGTTTTGAAGTTGGTTTGCAATGGTATGAGAGTGTCAAACATAGGAATAAAAATATGTAACATTGCATTGTGTTCTAGCTAAATTTGTCAAATGGCTTTAATTATGAAGTAACAATATATGGTAACTAAATGTCTCCATGCTTTAGAAATTGAGACTTTTTTTTTGATAACTTTATGAAGAGAATAGGAGAAAACGTGATCTGCCTTCGGTTCTTGACTTGCTGAACATGCATTTAATGAAAAAAATTTATTTAGGTTTTTTTCTTTCTTGTGTAATTTGCATTTCTAGTCTGTTGAGAATGAGATGTATCATTCTTTAATTGGGTGGTTAGTTAAGGTGGCACTAAAATTTGCATGAATCAACTGTCTCCAATATCAATGAGATAATATAGTGCATAGTTAGTAGCATTATCTGAGTCGCTCTCACGGTTCAGATCTTTCAATCCCATGTTTTCTTTACATCCTTTAAAGTATTTTCTTGCTATCATTTCTTTGCATTACTTCCGTCATAGTTATGCATTTATGTGTGATTTCAATGGGGATTATGACTCTTTACACAACACTACCATTTCAGGAACCAGAAGAATTGTTTGAGACCATCTCGCAGGCCCTCATATCATCAGTAGACCGTGATTGCTTAAGTGGTTGGGGAGGACATGTTTATGTTGTGTAAGTGTTCAGATGCTGCGGGTTTTGATTCCTTTCCTTTAGAGTAAATGACTGCAGGAATCCTTGTGCTTAAGAGCTGCTATATAATGTTTAAAATCAAGTCCAGTCATCTATTATATTCAATGCCTCCTTGATTTGGCGAAAAATATTCCGTAAGTGAGACATTTAGGGAAACCGTTTTTTAGCCAAATCAAGGACTTCTCACGTTGATTTCATGCTTAAAGCTACATTTTTAAATTCTGGTAGATCACTAAAGTTCCAAACTAAAAAATACCTTTATGCCTCCCGTTATCTCTTTCGTTTCAATTGGTAATGGAGCCTGTGGGGTTAGGGGGTCGTTACTTCATGATATAGTATCAGTTAAAGCGAGTTAATGTCTCTGTATCTTATTTGTTCCATTTCTCTTTGTGGTTGCAGTACACCAACTGAAGTGACAGAGAAGATCTTGAAGGGAAGGATGGACTAGACAACCTTTGTCATTTAGATTGTACTTGTTCATTGCATTCCCTGGTAGACATTTATGCCACCTTGTTTATGTTTGATGTTGTGTATTCAAGTTATCGGCATTTGGCTGAGCACTTAGTTTAAACTTGTCGCTTAATATGCCTTCACCAGTAATCATAGTGATGCAATGACTTATGATTTGATTCCCAGTTTTTGAATTCATTTGTTTTTCAAGGAAATACATTGAACTGGAAATTTTATCCTTTCCTTAAATTGGTTGATTGCTTCAGAAGAAACTGAAAAAGAAAAAATCATGTCAACACAGTGATACTCAATATAAGAAGTGTCTCTCAGTAAGCTTCCCACAAGTATACGACTGCTAATATCACTAGAATTTGTAAAACTATTTAAAAAAATGATGATTTGGTTTATTCACCAGGAGTTTCCAACTAAAAACACAAAGAATGATTTTTTTATTTATTACAAGAAATGAAATGTTTGTCGTTCATGTTATTTATGCTTAGCTCCAACTCCCAACTATTCGGTGTATTCTCAAAATTCCTATATTTACAGCGATGGCAACAGAGGCGTGATTTGGTAATATGATAATTTGACTGCTATTAGCAGATAACGTAATTTCTTCCACTTCTGAAAAAGCTGCTTAGTTATCTGGTATGTTAAATTTTATGTGATATGTATTCTTCATTCACCTTAATCAATGTTAGAACGCAAATAATTTGATAGAATATTAATCTAGAAAAATTATGATCTAATATTATCTTGTTTTAATAAATATTAGTTGTTATTTTTTTTTTTAATGTAGTGTGCAGAAATATAACAAAATCTATACACATCATATAGTAATCAAATAAATTATTTGTTCTTTATTTATTCTTTATTAAATTAGCAAGTACTTAATACTATGCATTTACTAATGTGACTTTTTATTAACTTGTCAATTGACTTAGTATTTTGATACTACTTCTCTTTTAATATAATATACATTTTCTTACTCTGAGAATATTTTTATTTTTTTAAAGCTTATGTTATACTATTCAAAATTCTTCAATTGTTTAAATTTATCATTAATCTTATTGAGTGTTATTTATTTATCTTTTATTTTTTTAACTAATTCAAATATCATAAATTATCTTGATTCCCCTTTTTTCATATATTCTTTTCTATTGTAATATTTAATTAATTTTTTAATTTTGTATTTTACTGAAAACTTAAGTAATGAAATATTTTTTTTACTAAAGTATAATTGTGAATTTATCAAAAGTATATAGAGATAAAGCCTTTTATCATTTTTGTAAAAAATCTTCCAATATTGTAAAAAGTTTTTATTCTGTGTTTTATATATATATA